AATAAACAAACTAGCAGCTTGGGGAATCACCGTAGTTCTAAATTTGGCGGAGTTTTCGGACATTTAAAATTTTAGGCGAATATGGTTGGCAAGTCCTCGGTTTCGGCACTAGAGGAGTATTGTGCTAAAAATAAATTACCGAAACCACACTACGAATATATTGACGAGGACGACGGTAGTTTTGCCTGCCAGGTAATCCTTTCGCATGCTTAAAATCCGTACCTATTGTGATTTACTGAGAAATATGTACTAACGAAAGACACGACATCGCATTTATCTAATATAGATTACTGTTATGGACACGGAAGCAGAGGGTAGAGGCCGTTCTAAACGTGATGCAAAACATCAGGCTGCATTTGCGGTCATCAAACGCTTGCGGCTTACCGACATGCCAGATCTCGTCGATGATTCTGATGTTGGCATACCAACTACGGACGTCGTAGTTCAATTGCGTGATTATTGTGTACAACATCAAATGCCCCTTCCAACATTCGAAATTGTACAACAGGCTGGCACACCAGACGCACCTGAATTCACAGCGTTATGTGCAGTAGCTTCTATACGTCGCTATGGTGTTTCGGAGAAGAAGAAGGATGCGCGGCAAAAGGCTGCTTATGAAATGTTGCGTATAATTGTTGATGTAAGTCGTTCAGAGGCCAAAGCAGAAAAAATACGATCAGGTAAAACATACTTTTTTATTCGCAGGATGTTAACAAATTGGATTATCAGATGCAAGTAGCTACGCTTCAAAGTGCACAAGAAGATCTTGGAAGTAGAACGATACAAAAAGTTTAAAACTTATCGTGAAATGACTGAATCCACTACCGGTGAAATGCCGGGTGTTTTACTTTGTGATCGGCATAATTATTTCAAACAATTCTATAGTGAATTGAAGAATGCAGCATATAAAATACTTTCAAGTGATGCTTATGAATCAGAGCAGGAAAAGGCATTGGATGTATTGGAAGCGTTAAAAATCAAACCGAAAATTACCAAAATGCCAACAGATAAAGCAGAGCCTTTATTATTCATCGAGTTGAACTGTGATTTTGATGTTGTATTTGCTGGACCGCCGAGCAAAGTGTACCAAGATATTGTGGGTTACTTCAAAGTGATGCTCTAAAGAGTATAATCGCTTTCCCCCACATTTGAGCTTATAATTATTTAAATTTTTTATTGGTTAAAAGATAACCATTGGCTTAGAGAACGCTTATTGTACAATTTATTAAAATAAGAAACTGAATTTTTCTCTGAATGTGTGTATTAAAAGTACTGAAATTGGTTTGAAATCAAATTGTTTCTGTTTTAAGGTCGTCTTTTACTAGTTTTACTAACAACTAAAACATGTGTTTATTGTTCACTTAATTTTAATTCTAATATTTCCCGTCCCACACCATCCGTGCTTGTCCAGACCACATTGCTCTGAAAGCGTTTATCATTTGCAATCAAGGTTTCAAATTGTCTTAGTCCACCCCCAACTCCAAAATAGTATGTTTTTGCCGCGACTAAAACTACACCATCTGGCTTTAGTTTTACATAAAATGTATCTAAGAGTTTTTGCTGATTTTTTGGATTGTAAATAGTCTCTGATGCTAATATATAATCAAATTTATCACTTTTGCACTCTACACTTTCAGAAGTCAACTCCGAGTATTTGGACCAATCGCCCGAATAAAATTCTAGATTTTTTCCTAAGTCATCAGTATAAACTTGGTGAACTTTTGACTCAGTCGCATCCTCCGAGTTGGAATCGTCTTTTGCTGGTTTCACGTCAACTACATTTAAGAGCACATTTGGTATTGTAATTTGTGTCAGCACATCTTTATTCTGTTGAGACGCAAGGTAATTTATTAAATATGTATTAACTAAATTATATATTATTTCTACTCACATAATCCTGAAAATGCACAATAGCGCCACATCTGTATGCATAAATGCCGAGCAAACCTGCACCACAGCCTAGGTCCAACACTCTTTTGCCGCGCCATGATTGTGGTTTAAAATTTTTCGCCAAGTACTTGAGTAGATCTTCAGTGCATTCCCAGATTTTTGCACCTCCTATAGAATTTATGTAAATGTATGTATGTACATATACATTTAACATATTTTATTGGACGAGTGTATATTACCTTCGTAAACTCCTGGTATAAGATCAGAGTGCGTTTGCTCGGCTTTCGAAATATCTTTATTATCCCCACTGTTGCTGGTGATGTGTTGTAATAGGAATCCCGTCACTACATGATGTATGGGCAAGTCACCAACATTCAAGGTGGTTGCATTTAACTTGTATACATCCAAGTTTTCTAAAATGTCTGAAGTTATGACTACTTTCTCCGCGGTGTACCACTCCTCGGGTCCCTCCTTTCCTACGTTTTCACTGGACATACAAATTTAAATATAGTTATGAAAAGATTTGAATGTTTACCTTGTCTGATCTGAACCACTTTCTTTAATCTTCTACATTAAATGCAAACTTAAACATTTTGTAAACAAACTAGTAAAAGTTGTACAAACAAGCATTTATCACAAGAGCTGCTTTATTTTCCCAATTTGTAAACAAATCCACCTGGCTGCTGCCAGAACAGCACGTGCGCTTAGCCTTGCCACTCGGAACAATGTGAAAGTGATTTCGAAGGCGAATTTATACAAGGTGGTGTTAAGGCCCGTCCCCATACAACTTTGGCGTTGCGTTGGCGCTGGCGCGCTTTGACAGATGCGCGAGTAACGACCGTGCCTGCTACAAAGAACGCTTAGCAGAGAGTAATTTGGTCACTAAAATAACATACTAGCGGCAGATAAATCAAAATTTGATATCAATAATTGCATTAAAAACTATATTTATTGCCCGCATTTGATTAAAAATGAAAATTAATTCGCATAATTTTGATTATTTGGAATAGCTGACGAACGACGCGCGCGAAAAGTTGAGAGTTGGCCATCTTTCTGCGGTGTGTTGGCGTTGGCGTTGCCCAACTTTGGTTATGTGGAGACTTTCATATAACTGCATGTATTCATAGTCAGCTGTCGAAGCGATGTCAACGCAACGCCAAAGTTGTATGTAAACGGGCCTTTACTGGCGATTTTCGATTACAACAACGACAACCACACGTATTTTGTAGTGCGGTGGTATGTCGCTCAAAAGTTGACATGTATTTTGTTTTTGCTTTTGATGGGTGTGCTCAAGGCGAATTTATACAAGGTGGTGTTACTGGCGAATTTAGATTTTCGTCGCGGTACTACTGAATGTCAAAATGATGTGTTTGTTGTAAACAAGGGGAATTCATATTATAACAAACACATAATTTTTACATTCAGTAGTACCGCGGCGAAAATCTAAATTCGCCAGTAACACCACCTTGTATAAATTCGTCTTGGGTGTGCTGTCAAATCAGTAAAAGCAAAAACAAAATACATGTAAGGGCAAGGCGAATTTAAATAAGGAGGTGTTCAAGGGGAATTTATACAAGGTGGTGTTAACAGAACAAATACAAAAATTACAACAACAAATTATACGCTCCTTCACAATCAGTACAAAGCCAAATTACAACAAACACATGATTTTGACAAAAGGTACAAATTCGCCGTGAAATCAGCGGATCCGATAACACCACCATGTATAGATTCGCCTTGGTGGTGTTACTAGCTCAGCTGATTTTGTGTGTGTGTTTCGCCGCACGGCTTCTGATATAAAATTGAAAAATTTTGTTTGAATTTCTACACACACTCTTACAGATTTTGACAGTTTATGCCGCCAAAGCAAAAACAAAATACATGTCAATTTTTGTTTTTGTACTCCTCCTATCACCTTATTTTAATTCGCCTTGTAAGGCGAAGATCTCAGCTGATTTTACAACACCACCTTGTATAAATTCGCCTTGGTGATTTCCAAAAGAAACCACTTGGATTGGCTGTTTTATACCAGAAGTTGGCGATTTATCGATTAATTCCATTACTGCCATACCCATGATTCAATAATACAAGGTTCGATAAACTGACAGTTGTCTCTCTCGCACCGCTCCCTTAGCAGTGGCACCGTGTGGCTTCTTTGCAAATTTACATGGAACAGTGTAGCTTTGGTGTGAAATAGAAGTATAAGCTTTGTGCAATATGTTTATTTGTATATGCATATGAAGCATATTTAACTGATGAAAACATAAACTGTTTTTAAATTGGATATTTACATCAATCTCATAGTAGTCTTATTTTAATTTTGAGTCATTTTGCAGTTTTTATACAGCTAAATAGCACATAAAATACGTAATTCACGTAGATATATTAATATTGCTTCAACATTTCGTTTAAAACGCAAGATTTCCTGCAATTACATTAGAATTTACAAAAGGAATTTCACTACTAATTGCCTACTTTGCGTACTTTTCTACTACCATTTTTGCACCTAGAGATTTCATTCTTCCCCTTTCTCCGTCCTTCGTAAATGCAACCTTTTGTAAGAGAGTGTCAAACCGCAGCTGTCAATGATTATCTAACCTTGTATTAGGTTCATTCCTTATCTTTTTGGACTAAAATCTGAAAAGTGTCAAAATGCCAGAGCGTAAGCAAAATGCTCTCACTAAAAGAGAATAACAGGAAAAGTAAAGGAACGCAAAAAACCAAATTTTTAGTCCAAAGAATGGCAACAACAAAGCTAACATCAAATAAGAATGGAAATGTATGTACAAAACACATTTACACAAGCACAAGCACAATCAACACTTACTATATGAATTATTTTTTGCCTCCTTCCAATTTCAATTTACTTTTTCTACTTTTTAGATTATTCGCACTTCCGTTAATTTAAATTCAGTTGAGTTTGACACTTTTCAGGATTTTGCCAGAAAAAATTCTTCTGACTAAATCTGACTACTTCGGACTGATGAGAGTCACTCTCACTGAGTGTTGCTCTCTCATTTTAGCTGTCATTTCCGAGTTAAGGAACGCTTTTTGGACTAAATCTGACTACTTCGGACTTTTTCTGACTATTTCTGGGAGATAAGGAACGCTCCTATTATTGAATCATGTGCCATACCTAAACAAAGTCTTTGGGTGCAGCGTTTTCTGACGCCTTGCGTTAACGTCGAAGTGCCGTGCCTAAACAAGAGCGGTAACGCACGTAAAATGCAGAACCAACAATAAGCATAGGTTTGTTTGTGTGAAAATTTCGGCATTTTCTGCAGCCAATTTCACACCCTAACGCCCTGTAAACCACTCGGCGCTGACACTGCGTTATTTCGGTGCTTTATACAAATTGCATTGGCATGAGAACTTTTTTCAACGCCGACGCTCTTGTTTAGGTGAGGCAGTGTAAACTTACGTTCTTAAATCTACGGGTTACGTCATTAAATCTACGATTTACGTTCTTTGGAAGCCTGCAGATTAATCGATTACTATTTACATATGTTTGTCATGTTTACCTTTCCTAGTGGATACTGATAACAAGAACGGTAGTCTTATCTATTTTGTGATATTTTTTCTTTGTATTAAATCCCAACTTCATTTTGCGGCAAGAAGATAAACGTATTAATAAAATGTGGACGATGTTGCCAATGGTGTATGCGATAATTGTTTGAATATAAGCACAAAAACGTTCAACGAATAAGACAACTGCACCAAAATTTTCGTGTGCGATTGAGGCCAAAGATCGAATAAACTTTTTTGTTAAGTTGCAATTTAAATCAACTTTATGTACTCA